CGCCCCCTCACGGCCCCCGCGGGGCGGTGCTTCCCGCCCGCCCTCACCGGCATTGGCGCGCGGGCGCGGGGCGGCGGAAACGTCCGAAAGCCGCCCGCCCCCTTTCCCGCCGCTGCGGAGGCCGCGCCGCACGCCTGAGGGAAGCTCCGCCCCCCCAACCGCGGCTGTGGCGTCAGCGGCCGCGCCTGTGACGGACGGCACCCCCTGCCTATCCCCGCGAGGGGCGGGGCGGTAAGGGTGGGACGTCAGGAGAAGCGCGCCACGGTGCGGGGGGGCTGAGGCTGCGGGTTACGAGGCCCCTATCGACATTATATATGTTATTATTATGATACATATTAATATTATATATTGATATATGTTAACATATTATATATGTTATTATAGATTATATTATATATGACATTATAATATAGTTACAATATATAATAATTATACTGTATCATAACATAGATAATATATTCTTGTATAGATAATATATTATAATATAGAGAATATCTTATAATACGTATTATAGCTAATGTATTCTAATACAATAACACCATATTCTATAATAATATAGAACCACACAATGGTTTGGGTTGGAAGGGACCTTCAAGCCCCCCCAGTGCCACCCCCTGCCCTGGGCAGGGACACCTCCCACCAGACCACGTTGCTCCAAGCCCCCTCCAACCTGCCCTTGAACCCCTCCAGGGATGGGGCAGCCACAGCTTCTCTGGGCAACCTGGACCAGGCTCTCACCACCCTCACAGCAAACAAGTTCTTCTGAGATCTCATCTCAGTCTCCCCTCTTTCAGTGTCAAGCCCTTCCCCCTCGTCCTTGGGCTCCCCTCCCTGATCCAGAGTCACCCCCAGCTTTCCTGGGCAATATCTGATAATCATGGAACAGTTTGGGTTGGAAGGGACCTTCAAGCCCACCTTGGAACAAGGAACCTAGGGAGCGGTGAGGAGCCTGGCAGAAGCAGTTCTTGGGCCAGAGCACTACGGTGTGCCACACCACCCAGGAAGCTATGAGGAAAGACCAGATAAACCGGTTAGGTGTGGGCATAGTTGGGGGGCGCTTATTCTGCTTTAAAAACGAGTGCCAGGGTGGCTGTGGAAGGATGGGTGGGTGTTTGCTCAGGCCTGGCTCGGCACCCTTTGAGGGGGCTACCCCAGATTGAGCTTTTTTATCCCAAATTATAGGATATATATATATAGGTGTCCCTGCCCAGGTCAGGGGGTGGCACTGGGGGGGCTTGAAGGTCCCCTCCAACCCAAACCATTCCATGGTTCTATACACACTTTGTACCATCTGCGATGATAACATGCATCCTTTGGGATTTGTGTCCTCTAATTCCAAGGAGTGGGAGAGCTGCCTGGAAGCTGCATGCCCGGCTGGGAGAACATGGTGGCATTTCTCACACCAGGTTGGAAGGACATCAAACAGCTTCTGCGTGCACAAAACAGCTATTGTTGTTACAATTAGGTCAGGTGAGAACCTCAAGCTGCCTCCAAACACGTGGTGGCGGCCAGGTCTTTGAACTCCGACTTCTGCGGCTTCTCAGAGGTGCAGGTAGAGTCCTGGGCCATAATGTACGGGCTTTGTCACTTCCCAGCCTGTGTCCACGTATTTGTGCTCGGCAAAAGGCAGGAGCCCAGTGTGCTTATGTGGGAGCAGAGTTACGGCGCCGCGGAGCTATAAGGGAAAACGATCAGGATTGTCTGGGGGGAAGGAAGGAAAGATTCAGAGCTTTGCAGAACAATCCAAAAAAATAATCTCTTAAATTTGCAATGGAGACTTCCGATGGTGCCAACAGCCTGGAATGTCATTTCAGCTTCAATCCCGGCTGCCGAAGGAGAGCCAACAACAGCATCTGGAAATGAGGGCTATATTTTTCAGGGGGGTTGTGTGACTCTGTTTTGAACAGAGCCGAGAGCAGCTTGGCATGAAGCCACCGTCCAAAACAATGCAAGGAAGCGTATGCGGTTTGGAAATTACTCAATGCCATTGGAGCCTTTCAGTTTTTCCTGTCTTTCAATCCAAAAAGGTATGAGGGTTCCAGGACTCCGTTCCCTCCACAATAAGCAACTACACCACAGTGTTTGCTAAAATCCCTTACCGTTGCATTTACACGTGCAATACTGTGGCTTCCTCCTAGAAACTCATAGGAATCATTAATAATTTAAATGAAAAAAATAATATTATAAGAACTCTCTGGGATACTTTACAGATAGTTTAATATTAATATTCCTATTAGTTGTATCCTTGCGAAAATTTAGCAGCCAGGAGCAGCGGAATTCAGGAGCCACCTTGCTGTTACTGCAGGAACCACATGATGCCCAGCAGCAAAAGTTAAGAGCTGTTCACACATTAACGGATTTAGCCCAGAGCACAAGATCTGGGCACAAAGGATCCATCCTTTAAACCCAGGTTTTGCCCTAAAATAGGGTGTGAGTGGTGGATATACACAGTGCCGGGCACCCATCTAAAATGAGTTCCCCTGCAGCTCTTCACACATGGCAATTTGTGCCATGGCCCATAGAATTGCAGAATCACAGAATGATATGGGGTTGGAAGGGACCTCTGGAGACCACCCAGTCCAACCCTCTGCCAGGCAGGTCCACCCAGAGCAGGTCGCACAGTGTCCAGGGGGATTTGAATGTCTCCAGAGATGGAGACTCCACCACCTCTCTGGGCAGCCTCTTCCAGGGCTCTGTCACCCTCACAGGAAAGAAGTTCCTCCTCATGTTTAGATGGAACTTCTCATGTTCAAGTTTGTGCACATTGCCTCTTGTCCTGTCACTGGGCACCACTGATAAAAGACTGGCCCCATCCTCCTGACACCCATCCTTTAAGTATTTATAGGCGTTGATCATATCCCCCTTCAGCCTTCTCCAGACTAAAAAGACCCAAGTCCCTCAGCCTCTCCTCACAAGAGAGATGCTCCAGACGAGGACATGGTGTTTGATGTGTGTTCCTTGGCAGAGTTCAATGCTTCGGCTTTGCGCAGGATCCCAGCTCACGCCCCTGTTGTGATACCCCTGCATCACACTCCATGGCTCATCTACAGAAAATATAACTAAGGTGATTTTGTTCCTCAAATGCCAACTATATCTCAGTCCACAATTTTCCTGGCTCTTCAGAACAAAGCGACTACATTCCTCCATTCTTCCCTATTTCAATAAAGGACTACAAAATCATGAAAAAAAAAAAAATAGATTTTTTATTTGGATTTAGTTCTGGTGGGTTAGAAAGGGACTGAGGCAGAAATAATGGATGGACACTGTGTTACGTTAGTGCAGACAATATCAACTTCGGCAAAGTGCTGAAGAGTAACAATAAAATGTTTTCTTTGAAGATTTGCATCATTCTAAATACATCTGAAAATAACAAAACTGCCTGCATGTAACCTGTTGAAATAGGGCAGATTAATTTTACTTACTACCAAGCAATAAATATCTGAGAAATGCTAAATTAGGACATTTAAACTGAAATTTAAAGAATTTCAGAAAACAAGTGCAAATCATTTGCTAGAATTAGCTACAAAACTAGGAATTATAAACTGAAATTTCTCTGCTTTCAGCATTGCTCGGCAGCACATCTATTTGAAAATGCTGGAAAGCAGTAACATAAATGTTGCTTTTTGTTTAAAACAACAGAATTACTGGAGGTGTTTGTCAGGCTCTCTATTTTAAGAACTCTGGAACAGAAAAAAAAAAAAAAAGAAATAGAGGATTGAAGGCTGGTAAAAGCACCAGAACCATTGCTTAACTGTACCTTTTTCCTCTCTAGTGAAATCCCAGTAATTCAGGGATTGTTGGTGTATTTCCACCTCTTCCCCCAGCTCGGGTCCTGGAAATCCGATTGGAGGGGTGGGGAATCGTACTGCTGGAGAGAGCTTGGCTCTGCTTCACTCTGGTTTGAGCTTGAGATACCCGATATTACCTCTTTGGGCAGAAGTTTGCTGTCAGAGCTCTTTGAAGAGGGAAAATTTCTATTCTTCTTCAAACTTTTTTCCTGAAAAGTACACAAACATCCCCATCAGCCGAGGGTGGCCGATCTCTTGAGCTGGTCAAGTGCGGTTTCCCATGCCAAGGCAACATGCCATCAGCAGCGAGGGCCACGGTGGTGTGGGAGCACAGGGTAGTCCAAGTCCCCAGCTGCCGAGGACACGAGCCAGCACCAGCAGGGACTGCTGAAGGTGACACCACCGAGCTGCCGGGGGTCCCTGCTGCACCCCCAGACCAGCCTCAAAGCGTGCTGCAGGGGAACCACTGTCACCTCCTGCTCTCAACCCGCCCCACCACGTCTGTTAAAGGGACATTGGTGAATATTTATTGTCATCTTCCTTCTATGGAGCTTTTTCTATAGGGGAGAGAGTCTGGAAGGTCAATATCCTTCCATCAGCCTATTCTGTATGATGCCAAGATAAGAGAATTAAACAAGTTGTTCCGTGAACAGCAGAACCCAAGAACCTGGTTTTCCTGCAGATTTGGATAGATTTTTAACTTCATCCTCACTTCCTTCAGCCATAGAACCCCAGCCTGGCAGTCTGCATGGGATGATTAGCCAAGGTTGGGTTCTTTCCCACATGGGGCAATTACTGGAATCTTCTACTCAGAACAAGGGCTTTTCCTGGAATTTGCAGTCGTCTGCCCTATTCAAACTTGGCTGAGCCAGCCAGCCAGCTTAAAAATTATTGCAGAGTACTGACAGCATGTGCATAAACTTCAGTTCTTTAGGAAATCAAGCTAGTGCTGTCCTTCACTTCCCCCCACCAGCCCCAAGGGAGCTGGTGCAGTAAGCTCTGGAAATATAAAACTTGGAGCTTTTGCTCTGCCCTGGCAGGGTCTTTGCACTGTCAGAGGAATGGAAGAAGAATTTAAAATGCAACAAAGTAATTCCCTGCCACAAAACTCAGTGGGAATCCTTTCCCCAAACAGGAACACAGGGATCAAGGAAATAAATTGGATTATCTGTCCATTGCAAAGGCAAGTACCTGTGAAAAAATAGAGAATTCAACAGACCATCCGCTCTGCACCATTTCCTCAACCACGTGACAAGGTTTAAGTTACTGAGAGGATAATTTAACAATATGAAGGCTTAAATGTTAAGCTAAATACCTTCTGGTCAGCTGGTGGTTCCTCAGCAAACTCTTGAGCAGCAGGTTCTAGCCCATCTGGCCTTTGATGCGTGTCCAAAGCAGCCAGCACAGCGTCGTGAAGAGTCAGAAAGAACCTTTCTTTGGTGACGCAGCCGTCAAAGAAATCATTCTTCTCAAAGTCTGCCATCACAGAGGCTATGGAAAACGGGGGGCGGGGGGGAAGTAAATCAAGCAGCAAAATCACACCAAGGAGTACGGCTGAAATATTTCACCTAAGTTTAAAACTCATCCTTGGAGATAAAGTCAATATTAGTAGACAAATACTATACTCACAGTGACAGCCAGCTAGAAGGACTGTAATGCCAATATTGTGGAACATATGGATGATCTGGGGAAAGAATTCCATCATACATTAGAGCAATTCTGAGTTATACAAGTGCACCAGAAGGTAAAACATAAAGAGGGAAATACAACCTTCCTTGTAGTGTTTTATCTCTGAAGAAAACCTTTATTCCGGTATCTCAAATCCTTGTTTTGAGTTCAGCATTAAGGGGCCAAATTGTCCAAGATGTTAATGAATACTGAGTTCAGAAGCAGGATGGATGACAGCCAGACCCCCCCATTTCCTTCGCACCACACAGAGACTCTGCTTCACTTCAACACAACGTTCTCACAGGAGCAGTTGTCTCAATTGTCATGTCCAACATTTTGACATATATCAACTTAGTGTGAAAGGAATCAGATTTTAGAGGGGACAGATTCTCACCATTTTCTCAATGCCTGACCTTTTGTAATTAAAAGACCTCAAAGCAGTTATTATTTTTTTTTTTTAAGGCAATGAAAGTCATTATTTCAGAGAATCACAGAATTTCAGAAATCGGGCTGGAAGGAATCTGAAAAGACTGACTTTACCCCCCTTTCCCATTTAATGGGTGGTAAATAAGGATTTTAGGGACATCAGCTCAATCCACAATTGTTCCCAATAGCTGTTAATCCAACCTATTATTAAGCAAAAATCTTTTGAAGTTGTGCTGCAGAGTTTGAGGGAGCTGACTAAGAATCCATCTGGAGCTGGATCTTTCTGAGAAGCACAGCTACATGGAATTTATTTTTGCTAAATATGTATCTCCATTGGCTTGGATCCCCACTCGAAGACTTAAAAGTTCAAGACATACTTCAAAGAAATGGCTAATTAGGCAGTCAGCAAAAATAACAAAATAACAGCTAGTAGTTTTATATTTGACACTTCAAAAAAAGAGCTTTTTCTTTTAATTGTCCAGCTAGAGGAAAAAATAAACAGCCAAAATGGAAAAAAACAAAGCAGACATTTTTATAAATGTTTTTTTAGTTTATGTGACTCCAGAACTGGTCGGAGCAGAGGAGAGGTTTTTGTGTGTCCTTTGTATGGAAACTGGGGGGTTTATTTTACTTTTTTAAAGTGGTTTTATTGGTATTTATTAATTTCTGAAACTCAATGGCTAAAGGTCAACTGGAAGACGTGCGGATAGTTACATAGCAGGGCATTTTAGGCTAAGGAGAAACATAAGATGTTGGGTTAACTTCAGGCTTCTCATTTACGTGCAGTTGGGTTCTTACCTGTCGCAGTAACTCGGAACCTGTCAAATCCACAAACTGTACCATGCTGAAGTCTAAAATGATGGTGTGAACTGTACATGGCCAATACACGCGCTGTTCTTCCTGATCTAACTGCACTGAGGAATTATCAATGGCAGAGACTGATGAATGGCAAGCTCTTCTCCCTTCATCCTCCTTTTTTTCGGTCGGAAGTCCCACGTTAAAGCCTGAGGCTACATTGTCCGCTCCTATCAAGAATATCTGCGAGCTGAGTCTGCCTCCATACTTTGACCAATGGACCAAATTAACCAAAGATGATGAGGATTCGGTATCTGTGTGGCGTAGCTTCACCAGTTTCTCTGTATATGGTATCTGAGATGGAAAATGGAGAGTACACCAGAGGTTGAAAGAATTGGGCCTAGGAAGTGGAAAAATTTTGGCTGCAAGTAAGAGAGTACTATAAATCACAGAATCATAGAATGGTTTGGGTTGGAAGGGACCTTAAAGCCCCCCCAGTGCCATCCCCTGCCCTGGGCAGGGACACCTCCCACCACAGCAGGTTGCTCCAAGCCCCCTCCAACCTGGCCTTGAACCCCTCCAGGGATGGGGCAGCCACAGCTTCTCTGGCCAACCTGGGCCAGGCTCTCACCACCCTCACACCAAACAAGTTCTTCTCCACATCTCATCTCAATCTTCTCTCTTTCAGGGTCAAACCCTTCCCCCTCCTCCTAGGGCTCCCCTCCCTGACCCATCTCTCCTGGAGCCCCTTGAGAGACTGGAAGGGGCTCCAAGGTCTCCCCGGAGCCTTCTCTTCTCCAGGCTGAACCCCCCTCCCCAACTCTCTCAGCCTGTCTTCACTCTCTCATGTTAAAAAACACACATGAAATAACATTAAATATAGCACAAAGTCACAAGAGGATGCAAAATAGCAGGTGACTTGGGCAAGGCTCAGATGTGGTTAAACAGAGGGCATTCAGCTACCAAATAGTGCAGTGGGACCTCCCTCTTCCACACTACAAAATGGCCCCTGATACTGGAATCTGACTGGTTAATTCTGCCTTCCAGAAAAGAAAAGAACAAGAAAGAAGATTGCTCTTCGGAGCAACAGTAAGCAACTTTCTGTCTGAGCTCTACAGACCTTTGATCTGCTCTCGTGTGTGGCAGCTGGTCACAGAATGGACTGATTTAATCAATTTTTCTTTCTTAACAGCTACAAATGTGTTTTTTTCATTTTTGTAACACAAGAAAGGAAAAGACCCTCTCTGCACTTTCATACTGTAGAAGATTATGTTAAATTATCTAAAGCACCTTGGTGCCACACATGTTTTCCAAGCCAATATCTTTCAACTTTCAACTTTCTCAGAAAATGAGTTTTACAAATCACATATAACCGCTTGAAAAATAACTTCTGAAGATATGAAATTTTTTTAATGTCTAAGGCAACTCGGAAAATTCAGGTAAATAGGGATATGAGTGACACTGGAAGATGCACAGCAGGCAATTATAGTAAAAGTAAGAAATCCACAAATCACAATAATTGTAGCTGCCTTTGAGGTATTTTGCATTTGGCAGCATTGGCAGTGGAACAAATTCCTCCTAAGCAAGGGAATTCTCTGTCTTCTATGGGGAAAAGGAAGCAAATCCCTACGGAAGCACCTGACAAAATTAATTCTGTCAGCTGAGGAGAGGATATGTTGAATATTTCAGTTGCTAGTTAATTCATCCAGTAAACTGAGCTACTATTGCTCTATCACATAAAGTATGAGTAAGGAAATACAGTGGTAATGTTTGCTCATTTTCGTACAGCAGATATATATATGCTTTATATAAACATTTACAGCCTTTTCGTTACTGGCAAGTAAAGAACATTGTCCTCAGTAACATAAAACCAGGCACCTCAAACAGACAGACTAGATAAATACACTTTAAAGCTGACCCTAAGTGGTGGTGGAGTTGGATGACAGACACAAGAGCATTTAAGATCTTTTCTTTCCACTGCCCTGTCAGACGGACCAATTAAAGCCCTCATTTCACTTTCATCTAGAGGTGCTGCTTTCACGTCCATCTGAAAAAGAAAGACAATTTCATTAGAGTTTGTATCTCCCTAATGCAGGCTTGTAGGAACTTCCGCCAACTGAAAAAGTAGCATTTACCTTGTGGAACAAATAGGTTTTGAAGTGATTCATGTTTGCAAAAGAGATGGAAGAACAGCACTGGAAGATTTTGATACCTTCAATCTCCCTTGCCTGTAAAGCAGAAAGTTGGATCTGTAAGGATTGTTCCCAGCAGGAGCCGTTTTTCCCCTCCTAACTGTCTGCGAGGTCCTACCCTAAGGACAGCATTTTCTGGTCCCATTGCTGACTACGCGACATCCTTGTAACGCCAGAATTACCAAATTACCACAAACTAATCTGCTCCTCTTGCAATTAAAACCATACCTCCAGCACATCTACCACAGATGACAGTTGGCTGCTCTAATATAAAACAACCTAAATTATTTTTAATGCTCAAACATACACTCTACCCTTGTCTTCCAAACCTTGTCCTTATATTATTCCATTTTTTGCCAGTCCCCCAGCACAGCACTGGGAACGCACCCGTGGGCACAGGCACAGCTCTCTGCTCCTGCATCACCCAACTCTGCACAGTGCAGGTCTTGAAAAAAGCATCTTAAAAAGGCTCATGTCCCACCTATTATCAAATGAATCAAATGAACTGAGCCTGAATGGTCATCCCCAGGCATTTAAGGGAAAAAGCTGGATAACAGAGAGAGATGGAATATTTGTTTTTTTGTTTTCTCTTACGGCTCTGTAGACGGATAAACTTCTATAAATATTCGTGTTTGGAATCTGTCCCAGCACCATCATCTTCATTCTGAAACAAGATGTTTATTAGGTTTTCACAGAGAGCAGAAAAAAAACATCTGTTGCCAAAGGCTAGATCTCCATTTCTCTCCACTGGAAATACCAACTGCAACTTAGAGGGTGTGAGTACAAAAAGTTATTCCCTCATGATTAGGGTTCTTTGAGTAGGGGAGCAGTACATGAACACAGCCTTCGGCTGGTGTCCTCAAGGATGCATAATGTCTCATTTTTAGCTCTGGAACACTTGAATTATTACTGTTATGCTGGGAAGCATGCTCCCTCTCTGTCTCCCCAAAGATACATCTACACAGACAGGTAGAGGCAGCTAAAACTTGTGCTTGGAGCTGGGTTTTGCCTTGTAGGAGAATATTTGGCTTTGGGAACCATGCTTTGCTAATGGTGCCACATGGTTTTGGGGCAGGTTCTGGTCAATTCAGGACACAGGTGCAGTAAACATGGCTGGTTGGCTGAAAGGGAAGGCAGGGGGCCCTGATGTATGGAAAACTGTTGTCAAGACACTCTTCAAAACAATCTCTTTGCAGATAACTTCTCACGCTTTTTTGAGTGTTGTGGGCATAATGCTCTCACTGGGAGGAAATTGATAAGCGGTTACGTACCCTGAAGGGAGGACGGACAACAGGGACACTCAACTGAACAGTGGCTGCAGAAACGCCCTTTCACAACGCTCATTAAATCCAAGGCAAATCCCAGAGAATAATTCTGAGCAGAGGCAAAACAGTGAGTTTCAGACAGAAACTGAAATTCTTCCTGAATTCCACTCTGGGTCAGCTCACAAACAACTCAGTATTTGCAGGAACTGAGTTATTTCCTACTTATTTCCATGTTATTCCAGAGGCTTCAGTCTACTTAGTCAAGCACCTCCCTATCATGGTAAATCTCATGAGGTGTGGCTTGGATTTATAACTGATTTTCCTGTTTGGATTAGCAGCTACTTTACTGAGTAATGTGTGCCTGACGTAACCTCCTGCCCTTGTCACCAACGGAGGTTACGGAGAAGATAAAGCAACTTGGTAAATGGCAGTGAAGATTGAGGAATGTATATGAAATGAAGCCACAACATCTGATTTTATCCCTCTAAAACTATGTAGACAGATCACCTCTCATGAGTGATGCTTACACAACAATAAAGAGTCTTCAATAGAGCTACAGCTGCAGAAGGGATGGATCCAGAGCCCCTAAACTTGACGGGATTATTGGTCTGGGATAGCATTAGAGAGACTGCAGGATGACCCGACCAAAGTGCTTACAAACATGAAACAGCTTTTTCATTATCACACGTAGAAGTATCTCTAAATCATCAACTTTAAGAAAAACTAGTATTTTGTTTTCAAAGTTACAGGTACCTGTGTGACCTAATGGTGATGATCAAGAAAGTAAATCCCATGGCGATCTCTAAACCGGTATCAAGCCCAAAACAAAGCACTGCAGTGAAAGTTACAAGCCAAATAGCCTTGGAACAAGAGACAGAGAGAACATGAGCAACAAAAAGATGCAAAATGACCTCAAACTCAGTCCCAGCATTTGCAAATTGCAGGCAAAAAACAAGGCTAGAAATGGTAATACATGAAAAGCTTTGTTGACACATCCAGACCAGTCCTAGAAGTAGCTGCAAACAAGAATCACAAATTTCAGTTCAAATCTCCAGACTTTTTAACAGGGCTTCAATTATTAGCAAAGTCCGCATCATATTTGGGGCCTTTCTCTTTATGAGAAGTCCTGCACAGGAGCTGACATGAGGATGTGGCCCCGGCTGGCAGCCAGACAATCTCCTCTTAGGGGGTCTGGGAAGCACCAACAGTAATCAGTTCTCCCTGTATAGAATTAATTGCAAATTGATGTGTAGAGATTTCAATACGCTTCTTTCAGCGGCTATTTCAAAGGATTCCCTTTTCTAAGGGAATGCCCACGGCTTTGCCTTGCCCTCCCAAAACATCCATTTCTCCCTTTAAGGCACAGTCCAAACCCTTGGTGGCTTGTTTCATTGTGACTTACAAAATGATACTTATCCCGTCTCCACAGGATGGGGACATCCAGAAGTTTTTCAAGAAAAGGGAGCATGTTAAATACCACAATAGCAGCCAGCATATCCTGTGGAAATCAGAAAAATATCATGTATTATCTTGCTATTTTTGTTTGCAACCACAAGCATGCTAAGGAACAGATATCCATGACAGACAAACTGTTTGAACTTAAAATATTACAACAGCTTTATTTCCATACATTTTTTAGGTTCATATAACAGTTCTCTGATCTGCAAACCAACATGAAACTAGCTTATATTTTCTTGTTTGATTTCAGAACGGCTCCTGCCAATACAACTGGATTCCCTCTTGCAATGCTGTGTGTAGTTTCCATTACTCCCCAGTGCTCCGCAGAGAACCCCTGTGGCCCTGCAGCACTGGGAGAAATCCCAACAACGTCTACAGAATTAAGAGTTGCTGCTTCAAAGCATGGTTTCACTTAGCACCGGGACTTCATTGCCTGATTTAGGAAGTTGTTTGACACCACTTGTTGAAAATGGCCTTTCTTAGCAACGAAAAGGAGACCGAAGGGAAGTAGGTGGTTAAATTCTATTTTGTCAGCTAGTTTGGGAAAAGGGATTAATTCTCCCAGCTTACAAAGAGGCCAGGAAAAAAATCAGGAAGTAATGCTCTGTCAGTGGTTCCCTAAGAAAACGTAGAGAAAAAACAAGAAAGTCTAAATAAAACTTTAAGAGAAAACTGGAAAATTGAGTACTCTGAATACAATAATAAAATGTTATGGGTGCACTGGCAATGCAAAATCCACACAAGGCAGGTTAGGAGTCCATATGGTTTTAAAATAAATCCCAAAGACCAAGCTAGAATCAGAGACATTAAACCCAAATCTCCATTTCCAAGATTTTATTTACCTCTTTAAAGGATCTGAAGGACCCATCTTGGAGCTCCTTACACCAATGCAAAAAAGGAACTCATGAATTTGTTTTACAAGTGTGCAAAAGCTTGGAAGACGTGAGACCCAAAAGTGAAATACAATATTTAAGTCATAGAGGTTGATGGTGACATTTCAGTCCAGTTTTAGGCAAGGAATTTTAGCTTGTACTGATCAGTGAGAGCTGGGAGAGAGATGCAGTATTTATTACCTAATATGTAAGGTATAAATAAAATAAATATTGCATCATGCAGACACCTGCTGAAATTTAGGAGCTTAAAGTCAGTATTTTGCTTTGGTCCATCCCTGAGAACAATTAACTCTAGAGTATGACATAATCCCTAACTGTCCCACAAAAATCTTCATTTTATGCTTAGAAAATTTTCATTTTGTGCTTGGAAAGTAATTCGACTGCTGCCATAGCTGTTTCAGGTTCACTTACGTTAGGTATCGCCTGGAAAAAGTGTCCCAGTTTCAGTGCAATCACCAGCATCACAGATACTCCAATCGCTGCTGCCAACTGAACGGAAATACTTTATTAGAGAACATTATTATGTACTTTTATTAGAGACAGAACCATTTCCTCACTTGTCCTCCCTAAACAAGCCCATGTAACACCACCCACTGGGAAAAATAAGCAGGGCACAATTAAGAAAGGCCACAGGATGCTGCAACTCATGGTACAAATTCTCAAATACTTCCTGAAGAAGTTCTCTGTAGATATACATTTGACCAAAATGGACTATTCTTAGGCACACCAGAACAATGCAGTTTGATAATTTCACGTGGGTAATAAGATGCCTCTCTTTCAAGTCAGATGTTGGAATAAACTCTTTATTAAACAAAATTACTTCTGTGATGCAGTGAAGAATGTACAGACATTCAGTTAACAGGTATGACAAAAACATTATTACATATTGTTATTACATATAACACCCTCTTTCTCCCCTAAAAGAAAAAGGATCACAAAGTCAAGTAGAATCATAGAATCATAGAATCATAGAATTGTGTGGGTTGGAAGGGACATTTAAGATCATCGAGTCCAACCATCAACCTAACCCTGATAAAAACCATCACTAAACCATGTCAGTCAGCACGATGTCAACCCATCTTTTGAATACCTCCAGGGATGGTGCCTCAACCACTTCCCTGGGCAGCCCATTCCAAGGACTCCCCACCCCTTCCATGGAAAAATTGTTCCTAATATCCAATCTGAACCTCCCCTGGTGTTTCCTCCTGTCCCATCACCTGTTCCTTGGGAGAAGAGACCGATCTCCCCTGGCTATACCCTCCTTTCAGGAAGTTGGAGAGAGCGAGGTCTCCCCTCAGCCTCCTTTTCTCCAGGCTGAATACTCCCAGCTCCCTCAGCCTCTCCTCATAAGACTTATTCTCCAAAGCACTCCAAACTTAGGAAGAAGTGGCAGAAGAACATGCATGAAAAATTTTCCATTTGGCTTTTGGGGTATATTCACTAAAATACAGTTTTAAACTGCATGGACCGTATCCTATTCTACCCACAGGATCCTGGCTGCCTTCATGGCACATCATGTGCTGTGAATATCATGTAAATATAGTAGATAATATAACACACACAGGAGGGGTATCTGAATTCATGTCGCATGAGTATGTAACTTTATACCTCACAAACTGTTTAGATTAAATGTCAGCCTATACTCAGTATACAGTGATTTTAGATGAGAGTTTGGAAACTTAACAAATCCAGCCCAGCTCACCTGTGTTTTCCCCCCTGTCTTCTCTTGAATGACAGTTCCAGAAATAGCACAGCTGACAACAAAGCTTTTGAAAAATGAGCTGAAAATATTGCATAGCCCCACTGCTACTAGCTCCTGTAAAACAGAAACAGAAGGAAGCAGAGAAAATCCCAAATGCACAACTTACCTACACAGAAGTAGCTTATCAGGAATTCCTTTCCTTTTGCTCACACTTGCTGATTGCTCATTGGTGTTGCCAAGCTCAGGAAATCTTCTGGAAGGCAAGGTCTCCCATGGTGAAATCAGTTCTCTTAAAAGGCATACGTTTTTCCCAGCTGAGGACCTCCTGGATCCTTCTTTCAAATAAATCTTAGAACCCCAAAGCACTGACTTTCAAGCTAACGTGGCAAATCTCAGTCTGCAGCCACAGTGCACCTGGACACAAGCTGAGTGGAAAAGACATTCCCTTTATATCCATCCCCAGAGGCTTTGAGAAGTCTGAGCAGCTTCCTTACTGGCTTAGCTCCACTGTAGTAAAGATCCAAAGCCACCACAACAAGCTAAACATGGAGTAGTGCAAAATGCCTAATGCTTACTAACTCTAGCTGACTGGAAACCAACACAGTTTTAGCTGAAAAGCCTCTCAGAGCAATCACTCTGGGCAGGGAATCCAAATGCTGAGATGGCAGCCACGTATAGAGAACTGCAGCTGCTCTAGCCATTTACAACTTCAACTATTAATTTATCACGCTTTTATAGTCTTGTGGATTCATGACAGCACCGGTCCTCAGGGAGCAGCTGCACCGCTGTGTGTGTGTGAGGTTCAGCCCCAACACTGGGAATATTCAAAGAATATTCACTTGGTCAAAGGCGGCCATGTTTTCACCTTCACATTATTGGCCTATAACATCTACTTTGCATAAGGAAGGGTAACAAGTTCCTACAAAACCATAATCTGGCTTATTCACTCTGTCCTTGCATTTCCACCATTGTCAGGGAGCTCGCAGCTTTACAAACGGAGCTGGAGTTTGCTTCTCAGCCTGGAAGGTACCCGCAGTTTTGCTCTCACCTGATTGCTGGCAATGCTGTAGTTGTGGAGTGAAGCATACTTCTCCCCAACAAAAACAAGAAGGAAATAGCTTACAACAGCAAGGGAGAAGGCATGCTGTATGATCTTGCTCAGGTTTGATAAATCTGGCAGCGTAGGAGGCAGAAACCTACAGGATCAGAGAAGAGATAAGTTTGGAACCGTTCTGAGCTCCATCCACAGTAACTCCAAACCCAGGATGATCATCAGAGGCATCCAGCACCCCACAGGAGATACTCTCAAACTGTGAGAATTCCACCTCACCAAAAAAAAGTAAACTCCTCTTTGTGCTAATAAAACCTGAATCTGATAAAATCGTAGTTTGAATTCTGCATATGCTTGGAAATTATGATGTAATTAAAATTCCTCAAGGGTTATTCTGATAGCTGCACTGCCCAATAAAAGTCAGTGCATGTCATGTTTCAAGAACAGGCTGAAACAGCTCTTTTATATCTCAAAACTACTCAAAACTACAACCTCACAAACAGCATAGATTACTAACCTCTGCGGAATCATACTGACCACAGCACTACTGGATTCAGCGTGAACACGAATGCAATTAGAAACAACGGTAGCTGCGATAATCTGGGGAAAAAAACCAAGAAGCAACACTAGAGATTATGTAGCTTTTGCTCCTGAGCTGTTTACAATCCAGCTAAAGATAGTTTATCTTGTAGGAGTAGTTAAAGGACTGAAACACAGATTCAGCGTGCAAATATAACAGCATCTTGAAGTAATACGTGAATTTTTTTTTTAAATAAAGTATATCATACTCTCTGTTAGTTCAATTATGACAACATATTTGAAGATCACTTACCAAGAGAAGTTCCATAGGAAATGCAATAGGATAAAGTTTATAAGTTATCCTGATGAATTTACTGATGCGAAGCACAGCCATGCCAAGCAAAAATAGCAATATGCTGGTGGCATTAGCTTTTGAGAGAGCCAGGAAGTAATGAAATAGGTTCTGAAAAAGAATCATCATAGAGAGGATCAGAGGCAGATACTACAACTATTTCTATATTCCAGGAGACTGACATCACACTCGAACAAAACCCTTCTGCTACGGTGGCAACTTCGATTAGAAGAGAGAAACTGAGAAGAGAAGAAGAAGGGAATGAGAAGAAGAGAAAAAGACCATCTAAAAATCTCTATCATTTATTGGTATCTGCAGAGAAAACACTGCCACAAATAGCTCAGATCTAGTACTGTCCTTCTCTCTTCTTCACTCCCATTTTCTCAAGTTCTCTGTTGATGTTATCAAAGTAAATTAGGATGAATTAGCTTTGACTTGTCTTTATCTTGGAGTCTGTTGCTTCTTTGTCAGGTATGATAAAAATACTGTGTGCCAAATGGCTTCCTCGTGACGATCTAGTGAAGAAAAAACTACCTTTCCCTCTAACCTTTGCCCTACTACAATTATAGACTTGCTGAAAATCTATTCTAGAGCTACATAAGTAATTAAAAATATATACACAGCCTTTTGTTCTTGCATGTCGCACAATAAGCTCCATCCACCCTTCAAGACAACAGGAAGGTGAAGTGAACCACAGCTGAGACTTGCACAAATATCCCTTAGCGACTGACTTAGACTGAAATTGCTTTCAATTCCCGAAGCTGGTTTTTTTTCCTTTTCCCTCCATGAAGCAGGCATTTCTTTGACTAATAATGAGTTTACTCACATTAAAAATGCCCATGGGACCCTTGTGGAAGTCTACCATGATGTCAAAGATAAAGGTGAACTGTGATACGATGACATGCAATGCAGCAGCAGTGAGGTAAGCATCAATGAGAGTCTTTGGCACGTATGTTGTTGCAAAGCCCAGGCAAAAGCAGCCCAGCAGCAACTGTATGGGACAGATGAGAAGTGAGACGTGATATAATTATCAATGTCTAACCTCGCCCTTCTCATTTCCATATTTGAAGAGCGTGACTCTTCACTGCCATACATGACAGGTAGTTATTTGAACATGCTATTTTCATAATGCACAATTAAGTAAGACACTGCCAAACCAAAACAGAAGCACTTTACATCAATTGTGTGCAGCTACTTCAGGACTACCAAGGGTCAACATATTGCTGAAGAGATTCATACAGAGAGTCAATGTAAAAGATATTTACTTCACACATATTAATCATGGGCACATGAGTCTTAACCTGTCATATCTTTTTCAGACAGTATGAGAGGACGAGACAGACCTTCACAGAATCATAGATTCATAGAATTTTCTAGGTTGGAAGGGACCTTTAAGATCATCAAGTCCAACCATCAACCTAACTCTGATAAAAACCATCACTAAACCATGTCATTCAGCACTATGTCAACCCATCTTCTGAATACCTCCAGGGATGGTGCCTCAACCACTTCCCTGGGCAGCCCATTCCAAGGATTAATAACCCTTTCCGTGGAAAAATTGTTCCTAATATCCAATTTGAACCTCCCCTGGCACAACTTGAGGCCATTTCCTCTGTCCTATCGCCTGTGACTTGGGAGAAGAGACCGACCCCCCCCTGCCTACCCCCTCCTTTCAGGAAGTAGGAGAGAGCGAGAAGGTCCCCCCTCAGCCTCCTTTTCTCCAGGCTGAACACTCCCAGCTCCCTCAGCTGCTCCTCACAAGTTCTCCAGCCCCTTCTCCTTGTTCTCCAGACCCATCAGCAGCTCCGTTGCCCTTCTCTGGACCTGCTCCAGCCTCTAAAGGTCTTTTTCGCAGTAAGAGGCCCAAAACTGGACACAGACCTCGAGGTGGGGACTCACCAGTGCCCAGGACAGGGGGACAATCACCTCCTGAGTCCTCCTCACCACGCTGCTCCTGATACAGGCCAGGATGCTGGTAGCCTTCTTGGCCACCTGGGCACACTGCTGGCTCATGTTCAGCCGACAGTTGACCAACACTCCCAGGTCCTTTTCTGTCAGGCAGCTCCAGCCACTCTGCCCCAAGCCAAGTGCTGCATGGGGTTGGTGTGACCCAAGTGCAGGACCTGGCACTTGGCCTTGTTGAACCTCATCCCATTCACCTCGGCCCATCCATCCAGCCTGTCCAGATCCCTCTAGTAGAGCCTTTCTACCCTCAAGCAGGTCGTGTCGTGTCCCGCTTTGTCCAAAATATGTGTTCAAACATGCTGAGCTTAGGTTTTGTTGTAAGAATATACAAGCAGCATCAATTCTTACATTTGCATGAGGATGCACATAAGGAGACATGATTAAGGATATAAAATAGATTCATCTTCTACCTGAATGATGCCAGTCAAAAATGTTACTGATGCAGTAAGTGTCAAGGCCTCCATGTAATTTTTCATAAATGTAGGGTCTGAGAAATTGTTGGGTGAACCACTAGAGGACAATGTTTGGGTGAAATTAGGAGACTTCGCAATGTTTGCCACCACCATGTTCAGGATGCTGAACGAGCCTGGAACCGACAGAACAGAGAACAGAAAATGGAACCGCCTGAGACGTTGCAACAAAGACTTAATCTTAATTAATAAGTCTGTGCAGTATGAGACAGTCAATTTTCATTCATATAGATACATATAATGCACTTATATAATCAATTTTTGCTGTTTGTGAGTAAGTACCTATAGTTTCCAAAGTCCTGTCTGAAAATTTCAGATTCCTGCCATTTTACGAGTAAAGTCTTTGGTTGCTCAGATGCACAACAAAGAGTTTGTAATGTAAAACACAAAAAAATGAATGACTTACAATGAGATACCAGAAAGGCTGAAAAACCCAGTCAGTGAGAGAAAGAACTGCCAATTTAGCTAAGAGGCCAGAGCTCCACATACCCACTCATTGGGATAATGTGAAAGGCCTTCACAGAGGTAAACAGCATTTTAATAATCTGGCTTCTGAACAAATTAAGAATGTAAACCCATCAACAGTTCAGCCATGGCAAGAAAATACATGGAGAAGACCATGGAGAAGACCAGGAGCCACATCATGATTCACAGTAACATCCTGGGTCTAAATGGGAAGCAGCTCACATTGGTCCTTCACGTAGCAGACACCTCCATGAAACTCCAGCTGTCTCCTGTGAACCAGTATCCATCACAGCTCACATCCTCAGGGGCACAAAGGACCCCGCAGCTGAAACTTGACTGACTTGGTGAAATTCTCACCGCAGAGAAGCGGAACAACAATGAATCGAGAATCTGGGGTCTGGATTCTCACCTAAATAACACCTGCCTGTTAGATGAAGTAGATTAGGACATCTCACCAGGTTTTTGAAAGAGCATCGAACATAATCTCTAAGTCCCGAAGAAAAATTTCAAAGTACAAAATAAATCTCACCAATTGAGATATGATACGAAGTCCCAAATATAACATATGTCAGCGAGCAGCAGAACGTAGAAAGGAAGCCATTGATATTTGGCAGAGGTAACCTGGTCAGCCAAACTCCTAAAAGTGCTGGAAAGCAAAAATCTGTTTCTAAAGTCAAGCAAATTGAGAAAGCTCTCTATCTTTGGTTACTATTTTTAAGTAAAATTTTGCTGATGAAAACCTGCCAACCCTTATGAAAATCCCACTACATTTCTTCACAGAATCACCAGACGCAGGTAGCACCAGCGCTGGTCTGGCTCATGCTACCTGCCACTCTCAAGTTTGGGTTTAAACATGCCAAATCAGAGCAAGATGGCCATTCCACTCCCACAGCCTGCTTTTTAGGGAATTCAGGACCTGATAAAGCCAGTCCAGGTAGTGACAAAAGCCAATGTTGTTTTACAACACAGGCCCTTGCTAATCAGAAATTAGACAAAGAACTGGAACAACTCTTCCTTTAGGCGACCATTTCAAAGACCATGTTATTTTGTTTGCAATATAGGAAAATGCTGCTATTAGTTTATATTTTGAGTAGTGTCCTGGCCTTGAAATTAACTGCGTAATGTCTGATTATAGAACAGAAGTTCTCCCACAAATATGCAAATAAATAGGTTAATGATTTAAGGAACTTCTAAGGAACATCACATAACCTGATGACATTAGAATCATAGAAAGGTTTGGGTTGGAAAGGACCTTAAAGCGCATTCAGTGCCACCCCCTGCCCTGGGCAGGGACACCTCCCACCAGACCAGGTTGCTCCAAGCCCCCTCCAACCTGGCCTTGAACCCCTCCAGGGATGGGGCAGCCACAGCTTCTCTGGGCAACCACTGACCTCCCCCAACCCTGTTGTAGTTTTATTATTATTTATTATTTTATTATTACTCTGGGGCACAAATGGCTGCAGAAGACATCAAGCAGCTGAGATGATAGACTATGAAAAGCATGACATACAAAAAGAAGCTGGAGTGTTTTTTTAATCTCTGCCTACCTTGAGGAATCTGAAACACCCCAACGCTTAGGCCTGCATGTAGATCCCTCAAAATCCATTCTCTGAACCGATATGAAAACAGCCAGTTCAGGATAGGGAACATCTTGAGCGTGATCTTTCTGAACCTTCTCCAGGAGAAGCTGAAAAGAACCACATAAGCTCAGCTATACTCAATGCCTTTTACAACCTCCATCTTGGCAGGGCTTTTCCGTGGCCTCCTGCCCCGGTGGCAGAGAAGCCACGCTGCCGTGGGCAGCTCTCTGAAGCCACCATGTACGCTGAACCCACGCAGGTCCCGCAGATCCAGCTGGAACGTAATGCGGATCCCACACAGGCACCCCCAAGCCTTCGCATTCCATTCAGATGAATCACAAATACTCCATGTGCCATTCATACGATAGGCCCGTCCCAGAGCGACAAATGCATCAATTACTCAACCTCATTAACACCACAGAAAAATAGGAGATGGTATTTTGATTCCTCCTATTCTAATCGAGAATGAAAACATACCAACACTACATCTGGGGGAGAAAAACAGGCAAACCACCAATATCCCACCTCCCCAAAAGCAGTCAAATGTTTCCTTATTTAATGTTTACATTATTTAATAAGGGGATGGAAATAAGACTTGACCTACATGATTTATTTTGCGTATATGTTTTTGAATCAGAATTTCCAGTAGGTAAACTCTGACTAACACCACAGCCCTCTGCTCCTTCTTCCCCATTTTAATCCCCTGGCAATGTTGGTGATTTTCTACTTATAAACCAAATATAAGGGATGTAGTGTCTGCCCAAGGCTTCTGGCAGCCTCAAATGGTGCCTGTGGGAAGTGCCCCCAGCTACCCATTATAGCACTGAGCCCCTTTCCATCACTGTGTTGACCAAGGTGACTATGCACTGGGCAGACAAATGGATACAAAATGGAGAACAGAGAAAACGCATGAGATGGGGAAGTGGAAAAGAAACAGGGGAAAAAAGTATGAGGAAGCAAGGCAGACGTGGTTCTTAAACCATGAGCTGGGGGAGAGAATAAAGAGGTTTTCTCATTAAGCATCAAGTGCAATGATAAAGTTTCCAATAACATTAGCTATGACTTTAGAGCAAAATTCTCCCTTTGATCTCTGGGCAAGACTTATTTTATTGCACCAGGTGTCTCTGGGTGGACAGACTGCTAACTCCACATCACATGTCGTAATTATACACAATTCAACCCTTTCCATCTCCTTCTTACATAGTTTTTTAAAAATATATAAAAAGATGGTACTGGCAGAGAAGGCTATTGCACAATCTAAATGATCTCGCTATTGCAGAAATAAGTCTTGATGACAAGTCTTCACAGTGAATGAAAACTAGAAAACATAACAGCAACTATGTTTCCATTTGCCTGCACTTATCACCAGGAAATGACTTCCCAGCAGCATAAGGTAGACGTGACCCATGGTTGCAGGCTACAGCCCCACACACAGCTGAGCTGAGCTAAGAGGCAGTTACGCAGAGAGAGGTCTGGCTCCCGTTTTCCTGTCCCTGCGTGGTCCTGTCCCTCTGGCAGCAGTGAGCTGGTGGATCAGCTCACCACACCTTGTGGAACCTCACCCAGAGCTAGACTTGAGTCTGAAGTCCTGCCATGGTCTCCAAACAAGAGTTTAAGCTTCAGTACACGTTGAATGTACATGCTGAAACAAAGCCCAGGTAAATGATGAATCAGAGAGTTTGTATTTACTTTCTTAGGACTTTGCAGAGTAGACACAGCCATAGCCAATGACAGTCTACTCCGCATCCCAAAAGAGATTTGGAAAGAAAACTGAGAGAATTCACAGTCAAACAAAACTAAAAGGGAAGCTGATGAATGGGTTTCCTATTTCTTATTGTATTTGCCTTGCTGGAAGAACACCAGGAATTCTCCTATGCAGCCAACAAAGACCACCTTCTGGTGAGCCTGCTGCCTGCAGGGCTCCTCTTCTACTCTCAATATAATGCCCAAAAGAGAATTTTGGCAGATGGGAAAAAGAGGCTATGGAAGCATTAATACTTTATCAATACCCTAACTCACTTGTTCTCCTCAAAGAACACAGGAACATAGCTCCAAAAAGCAGTTCAGTCAATCGCAGTCATACCATTACGCAACTTTCCCTGTTCCCCAGCTAAGAAGGAATAGAAAAAGGCTCTTGAAGTTAAGAAATAAAAGTATCAGAAAACACAAATCAGAAAAAAACCCACAGATGACAGCTTGTGTCTGACAGCTGGGCTGAGGGAAGCACTGTAGGGAAATACAACTATTGGCAGTTTCTCTTTACAGTGCACGTACCCCTAACTCCATCATAGTCCTGAAGGGAGCAGACACTTTTCCAGATTGCAGATAGAAACCCTGGTAGACCAGTGCTGACCTCACCTCACACGCTTCGAGCGCAAGTTCCTGTAACTCAGGGTTCTGCTTTGGTTATCAATCAGTGCAGTCCAGCATTTTAATTACCAGCTGTGGAAAAGTCAGCACCTTTTTTACACTTGGGCTTGAAGAGTCTCCTTAATTTCTTTATACCTGATAAGTTCCTGGCATAGAACTCACCTGCAGCGCAGCCGTCTGTTCTCTCGAGAGATTTGCAGCACTCCACCCAAGGTGGAGGACAGTTTTCTTTCAAAGCGTGCCTGGAAGTGCTCCTCCGTCTGCATTTTTCTTTGGACCCTGTAAGCACCAACAATATTGTTATCAAGTGTCATATTTACCTTGTGATGGCAGTCAAGTCAAAACCAGCAGAACAGCAAATGCTGGAGAGCACAATGAACGCTCCTCTTTCTTGGCAATAAGACTGGAAGAAAGAAGCAGGGTCATTAACTGAAGTACCTACTAACACCAAAATAAAAAGTATGAGACATGATCACTCCATCCCAACATAAGTCCTGTGAAGCCGGTAGTTACAGCAGGGACGAGCAAGGCTCTAGAGACTGGAATCCACAAAGGACACGCTGTTCCTAGGATCAGACAAATCAATTGCCAAATCAGTGGTAGGAACACCGGGTCCTTCTGGAACTTGCCTTGTTCCTACTTTGGAGGAAGAATTTGCCTGAATCCCCTCTGTTTTGTGATCCCAAAAGCAGGCCTGTGTTTGGGGAACTAAATACAATCCCTCTCCATAAACCTACCACAGCTGAGGAAACTGTTTGAATTCTCCTTATTTCCAGTCCTGGAAGAAAAAGGATTAGTCTGAATCATAGAGAGAGCAGCTAAATCTGAGGCTGTAAAAATGCCACAACTCGGTCTATAAAATGGTTACAATCAGGTTTTTAAATCCCCCAAACGTCTGACTCCCAGTCCTTAGAATTTTAGTATCAGGAACGAGATCTGTATTCAATCACTATCAGAGTAGGTAAGATGTGAGTTCCCAAAGTGAATATTGACTAAGTAAAGGTCCAGCGCAAGAGTGTATCTAAGACAAAGTTCTCATACCGTCAGCTGAGGCAGAAAAAAAAATCAAATCCAGAGCTACCAATAGCCTTTTTCTATTCCCTCTTAGCTGGGGAACAGGGAAAGTTACGCTGTGTAGAGAACGAGAAGGGTTTTGACATAGGAAGCCACTTGTTTGTTTTTAAAGCAGGTTTCCATATTCCATTCAGAACATGTCAGTCCTGCACACAACTGCTAATAACTCCTCTTCCTCGAGCTCAAGATCAAAAGCAGGAAGCTTTAAACACAATTTAAACACTTATTTGCTGTGCCATTCTGTACTTACTACCTGGTGAAGACACCTTGGGCTCCCCTCCAAAACACACTCAACCTGCAGCACGTAATGACTTCACCGAGTCTTAGGCACATACTTGAAAGCAAGCACATACGTATCTTTGGTATTGCAAGGCCTGTTACAGTATTGAGAAATAGTTTATTCTCCACACACACAGAGAAAGATCCGGATGCTGGGAAAGCTGGGCAGGGAGAGTAGCTTCTCCCATTCCTGCTGGCTTGAAGCCCCTGGAAGGGAACAAAGTGTCCTTAGGAGGCTTATAAGAGCAATTAATCCTGGGTTGTAGAGCTCCAGAAGCACTAGAGTAATGCTTAGCCCAAGGTACACCCACCACTGGCCCGGACAGGCTGCTCTAGGCCTGAACAAATGCTGCCTTAATAATTTTTTTCATCTATGTAGGATCACAGAATGGCTTGGGTTGGAAGGGACCTTGAAGACCACCCAGTGCCACCCCCTGCCCTGGGCAGGGACACCTCCCACCAGACCACGTTGCTCCAAGCCCCCTCCAACCTGGCCTTGAACCCCTCCAGGGATGGGGCAGCCACAGCTTCTCTGGGCAACCTGGGCCAGGCTCTCACCACCCTCACACCAAACAAGTTCTTTCCCACATCTCAGCTCAATCTCCCCTCTTTTGGTTTAAAACCATTCTCTCCTGTCCTATGGCTCCCCTCCCTGATCCAGAGTCCCTCCCCAGCTTTCCTGGAGCCCCTTGAGGGACGGCTCCCCAGAGCCTTCTCTTCTCCAGGCTGACCCCCCCCAACTCTCTCAGCCTGTCCTCACAGCAGAGGGGCTCCAGCCCTCCCAGCATCTCCGGGGCCTCCTCTGGCCCCGCTCCAACAGCTCCATGTCCTTCTGCTGTTGGTGGCCCCAGAGCTGGAGGCAGCACTGGGGTGGAGGGTTTCTCCAGTGCACAGGGTGTGGGGGGTTTCTGGGCTCCCAGCACACGTTGCCAGGGCCTGTGGAGCTTCTCACCCACCAACAGCCTCAAGTCCCTCTCCTCAGGGCTGCTCTCCAACCATTCTCCGCCCAGCCTTGATCTGGGCTTGGGGTTGCCATTTACCTTTTTTATATATATATATTTATTTATTTAAAGCATACCCTAAGGGGCACCGTGCAGCAAAGCCACGCGGAAGGCGACAGAGGGGCAAGCACCTCCCCAACTGTAGCCGGTTTCAGAGGCCGGTACCGGACGCTGCTGCCCCCTCCCCGCTGGGCGGCTCTCGCGAGAGGCGGCCGCGCCGGCTCCATATTGGGTCATCTCCGCCCGCCGCGCCCCAGCTCTCGCGAGAGCTGCCGTGAGGGGCCATCGGGCTCCGCCGTGGCGGCGGCGGCGGCGCTGCGTGTGTGGCCGTTGCCCGACTCGGCCCGTGCCCGCTTTGGGGCGGGCGGGGCGGCTGTGGCGTCTCCGGCGCTCTCCTACCTGCGACGGGAGTGTCTTTCCTACACACACACACACACACACACACACCCCTCGCCTTACCTCACCTCACCTCACGGGGCTATCCCGCCCTTCGCCAGCCGGGGGAGAAGCCGTGGGGGGGTAGGTGGTTTGAGGCGGGGGGAGGGAGAAGGCGGTGACAGGGCCCCCAGCGCCCCGCTGTTACCGCGGCCGACCCCCTGAGGTGAGGGGAAGGCGGGAGGGGGGAGCGCGGGCGGGGCGGAGGCCAACGGTCGGCGGCGGTGTGAGGGGACGGCGGCGGCGCGGAGGGCGTTGCTGTTGCAGGGCCGCCCCCGCCCGCGGGAGAAGCCAGGCAGGGAGAGGAGAGGAGGAAGGAAGAAGCTGCTGCCCCCGCTGCTGCTACTGCTGCTGGAGGTCGGTGGCGGCGGTGGTGGTGCTGCTGCAGCCGCGGGCAGAGCTTCCCCCTCCCGCCGGGCCGGGCGGGGCGGGCTCCGGCACCGAGATGTCTCAGGAGCGGCCCAAGTTTTACCGGCAGGAGCTGAACAAGACGGTGTGGGAGGTGCCGGAGCGTTACCAGAACCTCTCCCCGGTCGGGTCCGGGGCCTACGGCTCCGTCTGGTGAGTGCTGGGGAGGAGACAGGGAGGGAGACGGGGAGG